TTTGGCCTTAAGGTTTTTATTGGTTGATTCCTTCATGAATGCTACTTTCTTTTCGTTTATCAATCAGACCCCATCATATTCTTTATGTTTCTGATTTTGAATTATTAAAGGTTCATCATTCATTCTCTTAGATGCTCGAGAATATGCCTCTTACCTAGGTGTCTTTTTTAATCATGGGAAGACTGTAGGTGGGACGCCTATAACCTAATAGTTAAATGAAATGATGCTTGCTGGGCTAGGTAAACATTGGAGATATAACAATTTTTGTTGGTTTTGTGCCCTCTCCAAGGCTTAAATGCACCCATATTCCAGGGCCTCATCTTCTAGGTGATTAAGTTTTTTGTGGCCCTTTATCTATTACAATCCCGACGCTAAAGACCTAGTCCTTCATCCGTGCGAGTCTTCCATGAGTAGTGGGATACTGGTACAAACCTATTTAAGAATCATTGCGATGAATGCTCATTCTTTCCTTTTTATGGGCCTCTTTTGCCTCCCCACTTTCCCAACCTTACTAGCACGCTCTCCTTTCCTGACCAGATACATGAACCCATGTAAGGACGATTTGAACCTTCTTCAAGGTCTAGCCTGATTTCAAGCATACCCCTTATCCGAGGCCCCTCTTCCGGGATTTGTTTTTTTACATATCTTTTTTTAAAATTATACTCCGCAGGATTGGTGTAGTAACCAATGTGCCAGATCTGGCCTTTGTCTCAGTCTTTCATTAAAAACTATTTGGGATTTTCTCCCCTCTCTTGTTCAACCAGAGGATGATATTGGAGTTTTGGGAAAACCCACTGTAGTTAACAGTCGGCAGGTCTTTCCTAGTATTACGTTATTCATTTTTAAAAGTTCTTAAGGTGGTGTGAGTTCTAATGTGTTTTGATGAGTCTACACTCTAATTTTTCTAGTTGGTATTTCCCGGGAAAACATATGCCTTCACCCTCTATGGACCTTCCCACTTCTTTTCGAATATGCCCCCATCGCCAGGCTTGCTCGCCTCTCTTCTTTGCATAACTTCATCACCTACTTGAAAGTATTGTGGGCTGACTTTTTTTTCACGATACTTCTTTACACACTTTTGGTTGCCACTCGTCTTGACTTCAACTGCCATTCTTTGCTCCTCCACAACATTCAATTCTGTGACCTAGTCGTCTTTGTTTTGCTCCATATGGTAATTTACTTCCTTAAAAGTTGGAAGCTTTTGCCTCAATGTTTAGCCTTGCTTCACATTAGTAAGTTAGGGTGAATGGTGTTTCTCTAGTTGCCCTGTTAACGTTACACCGTAGGCATATACGGTGTGTGGGAGTTCCTCCATCAATTTGTGCCCAGCTTCACCCAATCTCTTTTTCAGGCCATCCATGACGGTCATGTTGGCATCTTCTACCTGGCTGTTTCCTTGGGTAGGCCACTGATGACTTGTTGTGCTGGATGCCGAAGCTTTCCAAATATTCGGTGAATCTTTGATTCTTTAATTGCAAACCATTGTTAGTGACCAGGCTTTTCGGCACCCCAAATATTATAATAATATTCTACTGCCCATTTGTTTTGCATTGGCAGGTGGTGATATATGCTAGTGGTTAAACGTCCACCCACTTTGTAAAATAACCAATGACCATGTTTAAAAACGTATACCTCCCATGGGCTCTTAGAATTCTTTTTCTGGGTGGCTTGGGTTCCTGATAGTGTGGGTGTTATTGGGGTGTGGAAACAAAGCAAACCCTATCTACCCCTTCTGGATAGATAGGGTATGGTTTGGATCATGGGTTGGTGGGTTTTACACCCTCTCTCTTTTCCTTCTTTCCCCCTCTCCCCCTTTTCTTCTTCTCCTTTGGTCTCTCCCTCCATTCTTGATCTTCCTCCTTCTCTCTCTTTTCTTCTACTTCTGGAAACTCACCAGTTTCACTCATTCAGACTTTCTCTGTTTGGATGACTATAATTTGGTGTGCCTTCCCACTAGAGTTGGGGGGTTTTGGGTCCTTGATGGTCTGTGGACTGTTGAGATGGTGGGGAAACAAGTCAAGCTCTACTAACCCCTTCTAGGTAGGAAGAGATTTATTTGGGTCCTGGGTTGATGGTGTTTACACCCTTTTTCCTCTCTTTTCTCCCCTCTCTCCCCTTCTTCCTTCTCTTGTTTTCTTCCTCTCTCTTGACCTCATTCTCTTTCCTCGCCCCCTTTCTTCTGATTCTGGAAACACACCAAGATGTATTCATTCATACCCCTCCTTTAGTTGTGTGAATGTAAATTGGTGTGTTCCCTCCCCCCCCCCCCTTGGTGGACTCTGTCTGGTTCTCTCCCTTGATTATTCAGTGTGTGCTCTAGAAGTATGGACTTGAATTTGTTTGGAAACCTTCCCTCTGAGGACTGAGCTCTATGGCCTAGCCTACCTGAGTGGATTCCACCTATTCTCATTTGTGTGAGGCAGGTTTTGACTTGGAATTACTCAATGTAAATTGGTCCTATGGTGCTCTTGACTTTCTGAAGGATGCTCATTTTGTCTCACTCTGATATCATTGACCTTTGGTGTTGATGCTGCCCTTTCTTGAAGCTGCTCAAGCTTAGGGCTGTGATGATGGATCTCAACCTCTGTTTACTACTTGTTTGGCCTAGCATGAAGCTGAATTGCTTTCTCACCCTAGGCCCTTTGACATTCTATGTGATGTTGTTCATACCTGATTCCTGTCTTGTTTGCAATGTTGTATACTGGATGCCTTTTGACACTGAAAGCTTTTACTCGCTAGCACCTGCTTTGTTAGCACCTTGCTTGAGTATGCCTGTTCTTGGATTTATATTTGTTGTATACTGTATTTGTGCTGGTTTGCCTCTATTTGTCTTTGAGGCCACCTTTCAATATTGGTATTGGTTAGGTTGTGTTTGTATTTGTAATGTTATCCTTGAGTTGTAATTTATTATATGTATAGTTGTAATTCTCAAGTAAGTAACCATCTTTGTGGTTAAGCTTTTGACATTGATGTATTTGTTTGATTTGGGTAATAATAATTTACATGTTACCCATTATAATGCTTTGATGATGTCCACCCCGAACCGATCAAACATAATGACGTCGAAACAGAATGGTAATAAGTGGAAGGTCAATCAAGGTGCTTGTAGAATACTTGGCTTGTTCCACATTGATGCACGCACTATCAGAATTATCCTTTGTGATAGGGTGTGAGACATTTGATGCGCCGCATATACCCCTTCATGCATTCCTATAATGAATCTTTCTGGCTCTCGCTTTGTGAGACAGCGAAGAAGTGGTCCTCAAACACTCTTTTGTACAACATGTTATCAATAACTTGGAACTACGACACTCTGTGTTTCAACTTCGTTGCCCGACCTTCATCTGCTACAATTTTCCCGGTCATCGGGTATTTGAGCATTCCATCCATCTAACATTCGCCTGCCCTTACTAGACCTGGATCTATCCGGACAAGTTTTTCATGATCATGTATCATGGTTACCTCAAATCAATCAATGCTAGCTTGGTCCATGATATCTAACTAGGATAAAAATACACATGCTCTAGTGTTGATTGGGTCAACTTTGAAAGAAGGTTAGCATTCATGTTCTCTACCCAGGGTATCCTTTTTAGTTGGAACTTAGTGAACCCCTTATGTAATGCTAGGACCATATCTTTGTACTGAGGCATGAGACCTTCTTTTGCTTCCATGGTGCCCGTAATCTACCCTGCGATCATACTCCAATCTTATTTGATCTTTAGTTGGGTGATCTTCAGTGGCTGGGCAAATAGAATCCCTCCAGCCAAGGCATCGTATCATGCCTTATTGTTTGTTAGTTTTATCTTGATGATGATGGCATGGTAGATCTTAAATCCCTTTAGAGTGGTGAAAACTACCCTGCACTGTATCCTTTCAACCAGATGCTCTACCGACGGCCATCTCTCGCATTGCTTGGCTCGTTGAGAGGTTGATTGGTCTAGCTCTAACCTAGTCATCTCCACCAAAGTTCCACGAGTACTTGCCCTTTGCTTGCCGACTTGGGTTTGTACTCGATATTGAAATGTGTTTGCATCATTTCCCATTTGATCATCCTCCAAGAGGATGTTGAAATCCTTATTACCAAACGAAGGGGCTGGCCATAAGGACTTCAATGACATGGGCTTGGAAATATGATGCCAAATTTTTTCCATAATAAACAGTGCATAGGTAATTTGTTCAATCATCGTGTTATGACTTTCACATTGTTAAGTACTTTACTCACGTAATAAATTGGCTTTTGATCCCCATCATATATTATTAGAATAGAGCTAAAAAAATTAGGGGAAATCCCAAGGTACAAATATATAGTTTCACCAAAATCTGGTTTGGACAGTACAATATCTGAACAAGGTAAGTATTTAGATTTTAGAACACTTTCTGGCATTCCTCATCCACTCAAAAGAAATGGCCTTCTTCAAGACTTGAAAAGGGGCAAGGCCTGATCGAGAAAGGAACGTGCTAAGGGCTGCTAGGTGACCTGCCAGCTTCTGGACATCCCTGATCGAGGCAGGTGCCTTCATCATGATTGCCTGGATCTTGTCTGAGTTGGAGTTGATTCGCCTCCTGCTTACCATAAATCTTGAGAACATCCTGGTCTTAATAGCAAATACACATTTCTTAAGATTTAGCCTCAGGTTGTATTTGGCCATGATATGAAAACCCCTCATATTTGAGGTGTGGTCACCAGAATACTAGCTTTTGACCAGCATATCATCCACGTAGGCCTCCATCGTTCTCCCCAGCAAAGGTTTGAATAGCTTGTTGACAATGTACTGGTAGGTTGCCCCCAAATCCTTCAACATCGAGGCCATTACCTAGTAGCAATAGGTCCATTCCAAGGTTAGAAAGGATGTCTTCTCTTCATCCTCCTTGGGCATATACGTCTGATGATACCCTTTGAAGGCATCCATGAAGCTAAGCAAATCCTCCTTGGAATATTTGTCTAACATCTAGTTCGAGCTTGGGAGGGGATTAGAATCCATCGAACATGCCTTGTTCAGGTTTGTATAGTCCATGCAAATCTTTTAGGAGTCGCCCTTGGGAGCTAGCACAACAATGGCCAGCCACTAAGGTTATCATACTTCCCTTAGATGTCTGATGCCCAAAAGATCCTTAACTTACCTTTTCACAAACTCCAGCATTCACTCGCAATATATATCTTCTTTTTCCGGACTAGTCGAGCCTGTTCCATTCCGCCAACCAATGCAGGCGACAGAAGAGTCAATGTGAGGCATGTCCGCCACACTTTAGATGAAGATGGTAGAAAGGTTTCATAGGACCCAGACAAATTCCTTGTACTCTCCCTGGGTACGCTAATCCTTATCATTACAACCTTCTCAACGACACCCGGGTGGAGCACATAGCTTTCTGTTCCACCTCAACTTCAATTTGCTTCTACACCTCTCCCTTAAACACCTACTAGGAGATGTTGTTTATCTTTCCAAAAGATTTGGTCATCTTCTTTACAACTTGAACGTAACATGCCTAACACTTCAAGATAATACCTTGGACCTTGTTTATTCATGGGCACCTAAGGATGGCATTGTGAACACACTTGGTGTTCACGACGATGAACCTCATCTATTTCAAGACGATATTCTTGCCCATGCTAATTTTGACTATCAGGATAATCGAACCTTTTGCTTCCACTGTATTCATGGTAAAACCACAGAGTCGGGTCTTTAAAGGCTCGAGTTGTGTTCGACACAACTTCAGCTTTTGGATGGTCTCCATGTAAATCATGTTGACACTACTACTGGTGTCCACTAATAGCTAGGCCACGTCTGCCTCGTTGATGTTCATGGTAATGACGAGGGGGGTCATTATGATCTTCTCCAGTGCTCGGTAGATCATGATCAATGAACGTGATGGTCCCCTTCTTCTTTTTCTAGGGTGTCTACAGACTGAAAAGATGTAAAGGCTCCTCACACAATTATTTCGCTGGGTGGCAATGTCTCTTCCCTCGAGACCACCCACAATCACGGTTATGTTCTCCTTCCAAGTTGGTGGTTTCCTCCCCCTTGTCATGACAGTCTCTCTTTTCGCCAGTGTTGGCGCATTGGTGCTTCTTCCTTGCTCATTCAATGCAATTTTTGTCATGCTCTGCATTATTTATCATGTGTCAGACGACACCTTTCACACTCTTACACTCAAAAAGTATTGTGGAATCCACCTTATGGTAAGAGTAGTTTTTGTGTAACTAGGGTCGGCTTTGTCCTTCTGGTTTCCCTAGAGGACTCTGGATCTCCTAACTTTGTTCTTCCCGGGCTTCATTTATGACAAGGTCATAATCATGCAAGGGCCTGTCGAGACCAGGATGTTCTTCTTTCTTCACTTGCATAGGCTTGGGTTTCTGATGCCCCTTCTCTACCTCGACGAAGCCCCATGGTATGCTATAGTGTTTCTAGTAAGAGGTTGGTGGTTTCCTACAGAACACTTTGTGCAGCTCCCCGAACCTAAGATCGTTCAACAAGAGCGACATTTTCATATTTTTGTCCATTTCCTCTACCTTTTCCACCTCCTCTCCCCGCCTTGTTAGGAATTGGACCAAGTTGATCGATGATGTTGAGGTATGTGAACTTCCCTCCTCTTCATGCAGTTTTCTTGCAATTTATTCATGAATTTCATAGCAAGCTCATCAAAGGAGTTGATATTACCAATGGGGAACCTTGTTGAACTATTTCACCACCTGTTGGGGTAACATGTGTAAGAAAAAGAGACATGTCCCTCATTCTCGCACCCCATCATCTTCGAATTCATGTATAATGAAGCAAGATGAATCTTTGGGTCCTCTTTGTTGGTGAACTTGGCCATTTCCAACTTCTCCTTCTGAGGGAATGGTGTCTAGTGAACCAGTTGATGCTTTCCCTTGCCTTCTTTTTCTTCTACCTTTCACTCTATCTTTCCAGCTTCAGCTTCACTTGGTCCACTCTATGAGGGACCAACTCCATTGTGGTGTGTCCACCAACACTCGTGGTTTGATCTTTGCTTCATCCTTCTTATGGGATGTATAGGAACAAGATTGTTCTTTCTTGTTTGACAGGGAGGATTGGAAAGGTGCGGGCTTGGCTCTCTTTCTTGTGCCTAGTCGTACCGGTCCAACACACTAGCGTCAATTACTTAGGGTTCTAGCCTTGACATGGATAACTTCCTCTATTCCATGTCTTTGATTTTTAACTTCTTGAAGGCTGAGTCTCTCGACCCTGCTAGTTTGTGTGCTTTTCCCTTGTTCTTTTTATGCCCTCGAGGGATGTCTCATTTCATGCCCCTCTGGGGCGCTCTGTGGCTATGGTTGTTGTGAGGGGCAGATGCACCCATTACACCTACCAAGTTAACCAAGGTTAACGCGCTGACCACCTGCGATTGGAACGAAGATAAGTGCGGCATAGGATTTTTAAAAAGGGACGTGTGCGGTAAGGACGCCTGTAATGTCTCATCCGTGGTAAAAAGACATGCCCTCCGAGTATTGATACATGGCCATGACCTAGCCGAAACATTGGGTTGCTTGAATGTTAGCCAGGTCACTCACGAATTGAGCCATGCTTGGTGGAAATTTCACATGTGGAATTGTAGTAGGTCCTGGGAAAGAAAGCACGGGTCCGAATGATGGTGTCGCAGTTCATATATCCCAGGCCTAGTTGATCCTACATGGGGACATGACTGCAGACAAGGCTTGGGAAATGACAGGTAGCATCGTTACCCTTTTGGTGGTGGTGTGTCTTCCATCTGAAAGAGAGGAATCAATGACGATGTTGTTTTGCTAGATGGTAGACATGATTTTTTGTGGTATTTCATGATTGAATTTCTCTATGAAGAAAAAGGAAATTCATTTGGTCCCATACTCGGGGCAAAAAATGATGGCGTAATTTAGTTGACTGGGAAAAAAATGTATAGACTGGATTTGGGGTGATGAGTTGAGTCCATAAGCTAACTAAAAAAACTGAATGCAAAATGATTTCAAAGGCTCTAAGATGGGAACACATGTAGCCTAATTATAAGAAATGTAGCCTAATCATACTCGGGGCAAAAAATGATGGCGTAATTTAGTTGACTGGGAAACAAATGTATAGACTGGATTTGGGGCGATGAGTTGAGTCCATAAGCTAACTAAAAAACTGAATGCAAAATGATTTCAAAGGCTCTAAGTGGGAACACATGTAGCCTAATTATAAGAAATATAGTGAGAGGATAACAGGGTAGGGTTTATAAGGGGCTCAGAAATATTAAAATTGGATCCATTCAATGAGGGTTTACTATAGTATTTATAGAACGGTTGAGAGGCTAGTGGGAGACATTATCTCATGGACTCGTTCTTGGCCACATGCTAGGCCTCTGTTCTGCTCCTAATTAAGTTGATGGCTCCTTGTCTTGTAGCATGTTGTCTTCACTTCTCTGGAATATATCCTGTGTTCGTGCCCTTTTGGCGCGTAGTTACAGGGGGGTGTCTCTGATCCCTATATCCCACATCTTTAAAATCCACATTTTTTTAAACAGGAAAAGTTTTTTTGAGACAAAGTGAGTATGTATAACATAAATGAATTAACAAAACACAAATTGAAAAAATCTTTGTCCTTGTTTAAGAACAACGTTTTTGGTTAGCACTTTAGATAAAACTTTAATGGTGTGAAAATGCTAATGCTAAAGGTTATCGTCGGATAACTTTTTTAAAATGTTATCGCTAACTCCTAACGTGATGTCAAACGGAGCCTATAATGAGGTATAAATTCGGATGTACAAGATTTGCTATAATTATTGACCATTTCAATAATAATTTAAAGGAGTGTTTGGTGAACACCACTTGGGGTACACCATATGTACACCAAGTTTGAAATAGGCACACACACCCTTAATGTGTGTGCACACACAAACATTAAGTATCTGTGTGTGTCTATTTTTGGCTTAGTATACATGTAGTGTATCACAAGTCGTGTTCACCAAACATTTCTCTAATTTGAAATAAAATTCATTACTTATTTGTCATTTCACATATTTGCCTATCAAAAAGCACCCCCGGTTGCCGTATTGTTCTTGTCTTTGTTGACTAAAAATACGTCCGGATATATAATAGAATTTACCACATTAAAAATTTGCGTATAATGGTTTTAAGAAAGTCGGTGAATACTGAATACTTAAGTAGATTAGTGTCTGTGTCTAGTTTGATATTTTAATTCGTAGTCAAACTATACAAACTTTGATCATCATTTAAATATTATATTGTATATATTAAATGTAACTAAATTATTTTTGTTTTAATATATAATGCAATTTTTATCTAATTGACTATTTTCTTTATTTGTTTTCTTTTGCGTAGTAATTAAGATAGAAATGGGAGATTTTATTTGAATCCAACACAATGGTTATCGGAATAATTAAAATTAAGTTCTTTGTTGATTTCTTAATTAAGAAGATGAGTATTTTCATTGTTCAATAAGCTAAATGTCGTTTGACTAATCTATTAATCATTGACATTGTTCAATAAACTAAATGTCGTTTAACAAAAATATGAGTAATTTTGTAAAACAAGTTTTGGATTTCATCCAGAAAAAACTAATTTTAAAAAAAATGTCACAAACAAGCTAGTTATGTTACAATTTGTGTTTTAAAAAAACTGAAGAAATGTGTTTGACATATATATACCTTCAGGCAGCTCATATGCAGGCCCGATGACCATCGTTTTGGGTTCCATTTTCATGAACGTCGGAGCAGCTTGTTCTTTAGATGAAGTCATTTTGTTAAGTTTGGTAAGTAATTGAACTAACTAGTTATTGCAATTTCTTCACATAGAGAATGTTATATATACACGAAGCAATACAAACTACTATCTCCATTTGAGAGTATTTGTTTAGCTTAGATTTTTTCGTAGCCAATTAAAATAGTTAAATTTAACCATTAATTAAATAAAATTTATACTTTCTCCGTCCAATTAAATTTTTAAGAAATTATCCTAAATAGGCTTAAAACATAAAGAAAAAATTTTCAAAATAAAACTTCCATGTTTTTATTTCTTAAATAGAAGCTCGCACTGTGATATAAGACATTGTGTATTTGCATTTTTTTATACTTTTTTGGTAAATGTGCAAGACAATGATTGGTAAAATAAATGCATTTCAACTCTTATTTCAGAAATAAAAACATGAAAGTCTTATTTTAGGATATTTTTAATATTTTATTCGTTTATTAGTCTTTTCCTCTAAAATTTTCAAAGTCGAAAAAATGTACGCCCAAAAATTTGATAGTTTTGATATTATTTTCTAATTATGATTCATCTATCCTACATATTATATCTTATCCTATTATAAAGTAAAGGCAATATTAAAAATAATTTTGAAATTACAATATTTATGGCACGTTTTTTTTATTTTTGAAAATTTTTATTCGACGGAAAGAGTATTAGATTTTGATAGAAGAATAATTTTTTTAGAATTAAAATACCCCAAATAAGAGTAAAATATAACATTTGTCTTCAAAATAGGACATTTATATTCCCAAAATTAGTAGATTTATCATACACCGTATAAAATATTACTAATCAAAATATAGTTTTATGAATGTTATATTTACTGAAAATTTTAATTAATTATAAGTCAAAATATAGTTAATAATGAGTAATTCTATAATTAGTCATTTAATTTATAACATGGTTTTTTTCTCATTTAGTCTTCTATAACCAAATATTATACCCGCTTGGTCTTTCTTTTATGTATATCTTTCTATAAATAGTCTTTTTTTATTTTCTGTCACATTGGTGTTAATTTGAGTGTTAAAATTATAATTTCACTATGATCGTATATCTTTCTTGTAATACACAATGTAATAGGTCGGTCATGATGCAGCGTATGTGAATCAGAGTCGCTTTCTGCTCAACTATAGTTAACACATGTGATCTTTCGTCAAAATCTTTGCCCACAGCTATAGTCATTATTATTGTGTTGTCCGTCTAATCGACATAAGAATGTGTCACTGGACATTGGTTTAATGTCAAATTAAACTTTTGGCCCTTAAGTTAATATTAAACTAACCTCTCCACCACCCCCCCCTCCGCAGTAAACCCCTCCACCTGGTCCTGATCTCAAGTCATCTTGGCAATTATGTCAATTGCACCACTACCCTGCAAGTTAGTTGACTGTGAGGTCAAAAAATTAATTTCAATGTCAACCAAACTTGCGCGATACAATTAAAGTAAGTGGAGAATGGGTCGGGGTCGGGACTGATTGTTGGGGTTTACCGATTAATGCTATCCACCACCAAAGACTGTAGTCTAGCAGTATGATGATAACTCTCTCATATTTGAGGTCATAGGTTCGATCTCTAGTCGAGATAATAACTATTGGTGTGCCGAGGCCGAGCCCAAGCCGA